ATCATTTAGAAAATTCTACAAAACAAATCCCTGAGATAAGAGCTAATATCCTGTTTAATAAATCTGGAAGATCACTGATTGAGGTTTTCTATAAATGTTCTGGAGTGCTGGCCGCTTGTATGTGTCCACGCTGGTCTTTAAAATTCTTATTTATTTATCTTGAACTGTGTATTTTCAGTATTGGAAATTAAAAATGGAAGAAGCCTAGTTATATCCATCTTTCACTTTTTGCATGATGTATTTTGGGCAGTTCCAGAGGACTTTGCCAGTCAGAGTCCCACCGGGTGAAGCACATATGGGCACAGCAGCTTGAAAGAATGGAGCAAACCGTCAGGATTTTGTCTAAAACCACAGTGTCCTTAGGGTCAGGCCACCTATGGCTTTCTAATACAGACACACTTTTTTCTGTTTATGTTGGAAACTGCTAAGATATTACTTCTGTCATGCATAGCAGTCACTAAAGGTGACAACTATTTAAAAGCCATTTTCATGTGTGTATATATGGGTTTTATATTTTGATGTGCATAGGCAACTGAAGTGGACACGGTGCATCCTGCAATTAAAATCAACACAACGCTATATTGTTAAAGAGGAGCTGAGATAGACTTAAATAAATCAAGGGGTAGTAGTGAGAAAAGGGAGGAGATACTAGTGAATATTAAAACAGAACAGTTGCATGCAAAGTTTTATGTTTATGCGTTCTGTTAACAATTGTCCAAATATGCTCACATTATAACATACAGTGTTTCATTAGTAATAAAACGTAAAATCACGTATTTTTCCCCCTTGAGTGGACATCTGGAAAAATCCTGGAATAAACACATGTTTTTAGCAGAGAGTTTTTCACAGTTTTTATGCTTGAAGAAAAGAATCCTGACTGAAATGGTCACAATTAGTGCACAAAAGCTTTAAGCTCATTGAGCTAAAGTAATCAAAAATTGGAGTAAACTCTGACCGTAAAAAATAAATAAATCCACTCCCTGTTTAATCTCAGAAGACGAGCATCTGCTAAGCAAAGTAACCCCATCCAAATTATTTTAAGGAAGTGTCCTTTTCAAGCCAAAATCTATTTTGGTTTAATAGTAAGCTCCAAATCCAAAGATTCCCATTTTACCCAATGCTTTTTTTAATGGTGAGACACAGTTAACACATACTATTATAGTTTTTATTGTACAGAAACAATAGATGAGAGTGAATGTTCCATGCATTTAGTTTCTGTATTACTTGTGCCCATGTTCTTCAGAGGTATGTATGTCTGTGTGTTCCACTTCATGTGTATCACATGTATTATTATTTGTCGGAAAAGTTAAGCTAAATGGATTGTACTTATATGGTATATAGACAAGATTCCCCTGTTTTCTCATGCAGAACCTCTTAAACGAGGCCACACAGTGCTTCTAAACTCCATCACTCACATTCAAACATGATGGATGCGAGCATACTTTGACATGTAAACCGGGGAACTCGGACAACTGAGCTGAGCCACAGCTATTCTGATACAGAAACCTTTCTTTTTTTTTTTTTTAATAACCCTTTGTTCTTTTAGGCATCAGCAGACTGCAGAGGTGGGAGAGAGCAAAGCTTCATGGCCTGGACCCACCTGAGGAGATCAGAGACCTGTTGCTGCAAACACACACTGACCCTGAGTACAACCTGAGGTAACACACACACACACACACACACACATCTACAAACAGGTTTATGAGAAACAATGCTGAAAACACCCGCTGGCTCTCACTAACGTCAGGCTTCTGTGCACCACAGGAAATTGTAAAATTAGCATCAAGCTTGGCTTTGTGGGTCATTTCAAACTCAGACAGAAATGGCTGCAGCTGTGAGCCTGATTTAGTAACAGAAAGCCGATTTACATAGAGACGTGTTATGAAAGTACCAGGCTCAAACTTCACACGGTGACAACAACCATTCGTCTCTATTGGCAACACATTTAGTTAATATTGGATCTGGATGATGTTGTATAAAACAAAAAAAATACAGTTAACTCAACATTTGAGTTGAGAAGAAATATAAAGTTTAGATGAATTACAGATGTGTCCAAGTAACAGGGGTCATGCAGTTTGTGTGGCCATACCAAATATTTTTCTTGTTTTTTGTTTTTGTTCTGCAGTTTTTTAACCATTGATTTGGGTTTTCTATGACAAAAAAATAAAATAAATCCAAATAAGCCCTGCAGAAAAAGAGCATTGGTTAAAACATGATCCTATGCCACTTATGGAGGATCTCACTGCCTAAAAACACTGAACAGAGTCTCTCACAGTGTGTTTGTTTCTCTGGCTTAATCATTCTTTCTTGTCAGATTCTAATCTCATGTTTAACGGATCTGCTTATCATCATCGTGTTCTGTCTTCCAGCCTCTGGAGCGAATATCCTCTGTGAGCACGACTTCACGAAGCAGATGGAAGGCTCCAAAGTGAACTGGGAATTCTGTGTACTTAGTGTATTTAAAGATGGATGTTTTCTAACCATGTTTGTAGCCACCGTTGTTTCTCTTTACTCAAAGGTTTTATAATTTGTAATAAACAAATCCCACCTGATCACGCCGTCTCTCTGTTGTGTGATGGACAGTTTAAGAAAGGACAATGCATAAACAACGTGGTGAATCACAGACCATTGACCAATTTAAATCCTGTGTTTTGCTCTTCTCTGGCACCTCCCATGTGAGGCGCACACTGACATATATTCACCTCAGTCTTTTTATAGTTGACACAGACTCTCTGTCCTACTCGCAGAGCTATTAAATATTCAGTGGAGTGATTTAAGTCTATGACATCAGTGCACGCTTTGCATTCATTGCGTTGTAAATTAGTCTGGGCTGTTATCTAAAAGGATAGGAATGCAGTGATTGGAACATTTAGAATTAACAACACATACGCTGTTACGGATCCCTCTTTTTTACAATGAACAATACATTTACAGTGTGCAGTAAGAGAAAAAACAAGTGTTCGTTAGCTTTATTTCCTTCCATTTTTGTAATTGTAGAAACAAAAACATCGATTGTTTATCGTGGGCTTGCAAAACTCTTCATTAACTGTTGAGGGCAGTGCTGATTCTAACGCACTGTACATTGGAAAATGAAAATAATCACCCCAAATTAAACATATTTTTCTCCACATCACAAGCGGAACGCTGGAGGACTGGTAAGGTGTCTATGTCATAACTGAACGCTGATTGGCTCCCACGTCCGTCAGTCAAGCGCGCGGTAGACGCACCGCCCGTTGATTGATCGAGAGCCACGTAGCTGGGTTCACGGGCTGGAAATGAACCTATCGTTATTTTGGGTGGGCCGGGATTGGGAATTTCTACGCGTCGATTCGTCAAAACGAGGCATGGGTTCAGTTTCCTGGTGTCTGATTGGTTAGTTTTCAGCCCGTTGCTTCTCTACGACGGAAAATACCTTTAATCACGTCCAGCGCTGAACAGCGTCAAGCTAGACAATGTTACGTGCAGTCACAGGAGAAGCGTTACTTTTTGAGTCAATATAAACGTTTAAACCGTCACGTTTTCACCAAGAAACAGTTTAACTTTAAAACAATTCCTTAGTAAGGTTAACTCTCCCCCAGTATTCCTTTATATTACACACTGACACGCACGAAAGCCCCAGATTAAGCTCTTACTTTGAAGTTTGACACCGGATGTTGTGTTAAGAAGCGACATCTTTTCTGCTGCAGACAGACTAAAGATACTCCTGCAGATAGGATAAACAATTATAATGCCATATTGTGTGAATACACCGTCGTGAACTATATTAAGAGCCTTTATTTTGCCTTAAATTGGCCTTCGTTTTTAGAGACAACGTTTTATCCCTCTGAATTCGTGACGCCGTTTTATTGAATTGCGTGTGTCCTCGATTTTTCCATTTAGAAGCATCCGTGAGGGTATAACGGGGCAGTCTGTTGTAAAAACTAATTTCCGAGCAATAATTCGTCTTTAACGTAGACAGTCGGAAGGGATACAACGTCAAAACACATGGTGCTTTAGAGTATCTTCTTCAAAAGGGACGGCTAGAGCTCAGAAGAGCCACGGACAGACAGCCCTGGTAAGCAACCTGTTCACTCCGGAGGATTAACGTCAGACATCGCGTTAGCTCAGTAGCATCCTAGCTAGTCACAGCCCTGTTGCTCGCGAGCTAATCGCTAGCGGCATACTCAAAGGCTTTACCGGTTTTTTTCTTCTCTTTTAAACCCATCACACGAGCATTAACGTCCTACCAAAAAATAACGAGTAAGTCCCGTCAGTTGTCAGCAATATTTTTTTATATTTGGTTTCCCTGAAACCAACCTTACCTGGGACAAAGTTTGTAATACCCCTGTCAGCATATGTAATAGCTGGGTCATCTCTATACAGTTTAATTAATTTGATTACTTCTCTGGTTTGGAGTTTTTAAAATTCGAATTATACGTCTGGAGATATAGAAATTAATATTTTTTTAACGGGGGCCTTCAAAACTAGTCGTAAAACAATGTTGTTAAAAACTGAAAATGCATCTCAACATACAACACGCATCCATTTTTTATTATTTATGCTAAAGTGAAAAGGGGTATTTCTTTAGAATAAGAATAATTGAGCATCGTTCCATGATGAGATGCTTTCAAGGGCTGCAAATGTCCTACAAATTGACGGCTGGCCTTCTCCTGCTCGCAAAATATTTTTTCTTAATATTATCCAGCACAAACAAATTGGTGCTGAGGCTTTTCTCTAAAGAGCAGCGCAGAAAAATATTGTGCAGGGTGATGCAACCCCACTGGGAGTCTCAGTGGGTTAAAGTCTGGGCTTCCTAGCCATACATGACATTGCATTCCCAGCCAGCTAACGCTGTTATGAGGTTCTTTTTTTATGCCTTATGATGGAGTTCATCAGGTATTTCGGACTGTACAAACTCTTAAAGAAAATCTGTGTAGTGGTAAATAGTTAGATACAGTATTTGGAATAAAGAAGGTCATGGTTTAATACTTAATTGGCAGCTTTTTTTTCTCCCCTCACAGTGATGGATAATGCTCATACGAAGACAGTGGAGGAGGTTTTGGGCTTCTTCGGCGTGAATGAATCTACAGGTCTGAGTTGTGAGCAGCTGAGGAAAAACAGAGACAAATGGGGACCCAACGGTACAATTATTTTATTTATTTATTTTGTGTCATCGCTCCAATTCGATATGTTTTCCCTGAAAAAGATGTGTCATTGAAGGCAGCGTATGGGTCTGAAAATGGGGTCTCTGATGTCATGTTTTCTTCTCTTATCCTTTTTGCAGAACTACCAGCAGAGGAAGGTGAGTCATGGATTTTTATCTATATCTGAGCTTTACAATCTTGTTTTGGATGTTTCCTACCTGGAACTCGGCCTTGTCCAAATCAGCCCTCGATGTCTTCTGTCCTTTTTTACACTCCGCTCTGCAGGGAAGTCGCTCTGGGAACTGGTCCTGGAACAGTTTGAAGATCTGTTAGTTCGAATCCTGCTGTTGGCGGCATGCATCTCTTTTGTAAGACAACTGCACACGCATCACACAAATGCACGCAAAACCCAATAACGCGTATTACTTAATCATACATTGACTTTTGTGTTGTCATGGAAAACATTTGAAACATGATGGTAACACAAAATCCCCCGTTGGAAAAAGGAATCGAACAAAAACCGACTGATGAGCAGCAGTGCTGTTACACAGCTGTACAGCCGTGCACACGTGCCTGACTTTTGACTCTTCTCTGTCCTGTAGACTTTGGCGTGGTTTGAAGAAGGGGAGGGGACCATCACAGCCTTTGTTGAACCCTTCGTCATCCTCCTCATCCTCATCGCTAACGCGATTGTTGGAGTTTGGCAGGTACCTGTGTGTGGATGAAGTGTTTAGGGGCTCGGCCTTTCAGTATTAAAACGCCTGACAACTAATGAGCTGTTTAAAAAAAGAGCACAAACCAAGCAGGAAGGTAGAATACTGATAATATTACAAAGAAAGTTCGAACCAAATTGAACCAAAATAGCTAGAGATGTAATATTCTTTTAATGAGCAGTGGCAGTCATCCATCGACCTTCAAGCAGAGAGAGCTGGGGGCTTTTCGGAGACGAATGTAGTAAATCCCAGATGGTATCACACACTGTGGCTTTCAAACTTATATGAACAGATTCTTACACTTTGATGGGCTCATGATTTTTTGGATCATTAAATACAAGACTTCACTTGTGTGCAGGATAAGACGGTATAAACAGGAAACAGAACAATGCCTGTTTAGTTACTGTCAAATGTAAAGACATGTTATCTTTAAAAGAGTTCCAATTAAAACAAAAGTAGATCATTTGATCATCGGACAGAGATTCTGAAATCAGCTTTCGTTCTTCAGTCCATCCTTCGCTGCTCACTGAGTATCTAAACTTCATATATATCTTCAATGGAATTTTTTTTTTTTTATCTCTCTATCTGGTACTGCAGGTAAGTCATATCATTTTATATCCTTCGTACCTGAAGTCATCAGTTCTGGTAACTGCAGGTTTGCTTTGGTTCACTGTGCAGGCAACAGAAACCCGAGCACTCTTTGTTCTTAAGAATTGTTATTACAACTGAATTAAAAGTAAAGTAGTTTGGACATAATGTGTATAATGTTAAAGTAAGTATGTCTTCACATTCCTTATAGCAGAGAGGGTTGTTGTACATTAACAAGCAATCATGCGTTGCATTTAATGGATATCATCTGGATTATATTAAGAATGAACATTTTACAGTACCTTAAATAAATACTAATGATGTGCAGTTTTCCTACATTTTAAAGCGATTCTTCCCAAAACATGTGATCATGTGAACATGTTTGTTTTCTTTTTGATGCCATGAAGCTCCAGATGAGTTAGACTGCTCTTCACCCAGTCAAGAGGAATCAACAGAAAGTAGAATAAATACTTATTATTTTTTCCCAAATTCTAATTGTTTTTCTTAGGTTTCTATAGTTTATTTGGCCATTTTACTGAACTTTCTATTCCCACTATTCTGGTATTGTTTATGTTACAACCAGAACTGATAAAGACCACTCATAAAAAACGTTGCCCAGTATCAGTGGAGAAGAACACCTTCCATTCATCAGGAAACACAGACAAAGGGACGCAGCTCAAACAGAATTCCTGGGTGAGGGCCGGCATGGCCGCGACTGCAGTGGGCTCAGACTCAGCAACTCTGAGCTGTAGAGACCCTGTAAAGTCTGGTCTGACGGCACCCCCTTCTCTTTTTTTTCTTTTGCTTAGACTGCAGACTGTAGGCTCAGTTATGCACCAACATTTACAGCCTCTGGAGCCACCCCACCCTGTGTGAACAGTGGAGGATGCAGGTGGTGGTGTAATGATGAGAGGGATTTCCTTATTTTAGCCTTTTAATAAAACAACTAGTCCTGTATCTGACACCACCAATTGATTCATTCCCGGGCAGGTCACCGTCCCCTCATGGCTGATTTTGGGATGTTCTTATGCAATGAAAGAAAACGAACATGTTCTGAAAGACAGCGGATCACAAACGGCTAGAATCCTCCAGATTCAGCTGAAATACGAGCAAAAGTGGTTTGATAGCGTCACACGGCGAGACGTGGCGCCGCTCTGATGTGCCTTCTTTGTCTGGCTAATAAAAGGCTAAAGGGTTGTTTTACAAACATCAAAAACAATATCCTGCAAATGCTTAAAAAAGGGAAATCGTTTAGAAAAAAATCCTCCGCATGCACCTTTGGTCGTATTCTTCACAGAATCAGGCTTTTTAGCTTTGAATAATATTTAGCAATTGCTGGATATAAAAAAAAAAAAAAAACGGCACCTTAGCACCAAATTTTTGCGCTTTCTTCCAAAAGTTGGATGAATTCTACCATGAAATGATTTTTGAACTGACATTTTGCTGTGAAAACTACATTTAACTGAACTTGAAGCCACATTTTTTTTTAGGAATCTACTGAGGTAAAGAAAAATGCTCTTCATTATTCGTGGTGTTTATATATAGAAAACAGGGATTTCCCTAATGTATTCACGGGAGAGTGGGAATGTAGTTTTAGTGTAAGTCTTCAGACCCTCTCTGGGAACTAGCTGCATGTGGGCCATGAGGCACAGTGTGGTTTATTTTGTGTTTTGGTCAACTGCTTCCTGTTGACCCAAATTTAGATTTAAGGCCAAATCGGGCCAGCCACTGGTTTTCAAAGCCTTCCCATGTCTTTGCCATTTCAAATTGTGGAGTAAAATTTTTCTGATTCGGACCCAAAAAAAAGATTTTCCTTAAAAAGAACCCTTAGTGTTTGTCCTCACAGCTTTGTTGGAATCAGTTATTTTCTTTCATGGAGGTTTTTTGTAAGCAGCAGGATGATGCTTTCTTGTTTGTGTGTCCTATAGGAGCGAAACGCAGAGAACGCCATCGAGGCTTTAAAGGAGTACGAGCCTGAAATGGGCAAAGTGTACCGGCAGGACAAGAAGAGCGTCCAGAGAGTCAAAGCTCGAGACATTGTTCCTGGAGACATTGTTGAAGTTGCTGGTAAGTTGGAGAATTCCGTAATTACATAGCTTTCATCACAAAGTTTTCACAAAAGTCTTTCATATAATCAACACTATTTCAACACAAATGTTATTTGGCCACCCATAACATTATGACCATTGACAGATGCATGTTAGGCAACAGGTAAACCTTTTTTTTTGTTGAAGTTGTTGTGAAAGCAGAACAATTTGAGCATGCAGAAGGATTTTAGGCTTTTAGGCAGAAGGATTTTAGGATTTTAGGTTGTGATATTAGCTTCAGCACATCTTTGGGGATGAAAGACTTCTGTCCAGTGATCTTGGTGCTTTCGGAAAAATCAGTCCACTGAGCTTCTCTGATCCCAGTCCAGTCCTCAGTGTTATGAGCTGGCTCTTCATAACGTTATTCCTCAGTGGGTGGTCGCTCCTGGACAATCTCAACAAGATTGGTGGTCCACCTGTCTGCTGTGTTTCTCCGTCTTCTGTGGAAACGATTCCAGTTTTTCTTTTTCCTTCTCATCCCCTTAATTGAAGGTGATGGGTCATGGCCTGCAAATCCTCTGCCCGTTAAGATGTTTTCATGCAGTTCTCATATTTGCTATAGCTTTGGTCCAGAAACCATTAGCCCTACCCCACAGGGGGCTTATGTTTTCGTCACAACTCAGAACTAGAGTCTTTAATGACATTTATTAATTTACATTCAATTTCCCTCTGGGATGATTGAAGCCATTTTGAATTTAATTGGATTTTGAGCGATTACTTTTCTAAAGCAAATGAGAATTTAGTTCTAACCATATTAACAACGAGGCTCTTTAAGGTTTTACAGATTGCTTGTGAATAATCATCCTTCATTCCTTTAAGTGATAAAGTATGCCGTCTTATCTCTGTTATGCACCCAGCCACACTTTCACACTGTGAATGACGTCTAATCTTCAAAAGATCATAGAATTATATGGAGAAATAACGAAGTAATGAAGGCCTAAAGGGTTTTTACTTGCATTTATGTCTTCTATCTTGTCTGTTCGTGGGCCTTCAGTGGGGAGATCAGCAGAACGAAGCACGCGTTTCCATTTCACGGTTGTTTAGACATAGTTGGAACGACGCTGGACGGTATTTGTTTAGTCATTCCTGGCAGCGCCTGCCAAGTCTGCCATCTCCTTCGGCCGATATTGTCATGGTAACCTAGCAAGGAAAACAAATAGCCTCCACGGAAAAAATGTTTATTGGAGCACAGCTCTGGAGGGTTTGCAGTGAATCCGAACAGTGGTTGATGATGATGATGATGATGATGATGCATGCCTTTTGCACTAACGATTTTCCACTTGTTACAGGATGTATTTTTACCGCAGCTGTCTTGTGTTAGTGTCCTAAAGCGTTTGAAAACATTTGGAGTTGATTTCTAGCATATGGCAGCACTTGTTCTCAGTGGTGTTACTCTTTGTTGAACCACTTGATGACCGAAGAGGAGGTAACATTTTGAACCGAGTCAGAAAAGTGTTTTTGAGCACATTTTGGGCGTTTCCCGGTTTTTCTGTGCGATAAGGCCATGACAGTTTGCATTAATCTTTATCCTAATTCAGTGCTGCCGTCTTTTGGCTAAAAGTCAGGTGAGAAATATCTTCTGCTGAGGCCACACTTTGCGGTCACCTGCATCCCCATATGCATTCATAGAGAAATGCCCAGTAAAAAACACTGAGATCGTTTTTGATCCATCAAGAAAACAGCTGAATTCTTCTGATGGATATTTCAGGCTCCTCAGAGAGAGGAAACGTCTGTGTGTCTTTTTGCTAGTGTGTTCTCCCTGTTGTAGAGTCATTTGTTTCCAAGAGCATGGGAACTCTTTGACTCTTGTCGTGGGACTCCTCGCTGCAACAGTCTCATCACAGCATTTAGTTCAGTTTTGATTCGGCAACCTGTGTAAATAGAGCTTTTAATAACTAAAGTTATGTAAAATAAGATTCTCACTCTTCATTCTAACGTTTCCATGTTAGAACGTTACAAGAAAGTCTTAACATGTCTAAAAAATTAAGCCTGGAATGATAAAGTGTTATAATTTATTTAACTAAGAACTCACTTAAATTGCATAAAAGTGATCCTCTCTGTGCTATTAGACAATGCATCTGTTCTATTATAGATGGTCACAGAGGATGTAAGGAGGCAGGAGATTCTGTTATCAACGGCTAGTTAAAGCTTGTTTATTGTTTATTACTAATAAATCATTGTAGTACCACTGGTCATTCCTTATGAATCTTTTTACATGTAGTTCGACAATGTAACCTAATAAATACCATAAAAATGATTAGTAAACCAAAAGTATGAAATGCGGTACACATAAGACTGATGGAGGATCTGAGTGAGGAAGCCATGGAATTAATGAGCAGAGGAGGGTGTTTAATGAAGGAAGAACCACTTCCTCTTTGCTCAGGTTACATGTCTGGATGCAGCTACGGACTGTTCAGTAATTTTTTTCCAAGCGTTCTTGGGCTCATGTGGTTCTGTTTTTCGTTCCATTTTAAGCTCTGGATGTATTTGGTTCAAAATAGTAAGCTGTGATCCACTCTTGCTTGGCAAGTCCAAACCTTTGGTAGATGTGCCTTTTATGCCAAGTGTGGTATTTTAGCTTTTTTATGTCAGTTTATGTGTGTAATCCCAATTCTGGAGTTAGATTCTGCAAAGAAATCTCAGCATTTTGCAATGTAATTATATATTGACCTAACTCTGTCTGCAGAGACGTTTTTGTGAAAGTTGTGACCTGCATGTGGGTTTTTCTCTACTGCACTGCAATATGAGAAGTGTTACATGCTTTACTCATTAGTGGTTTAATTTAATGGCTGATTATTGTTGTGTTGTAATGAAAACTCATACACAACTGCACAGTGCAAACATTAGTTTTTTATTACCGCTTCTTGTGCATATTTATTGGGATGGGGGAGAGCGAATACACTCATAAACATGAATATAATCACAATATTTTTTATAAATTCAACAATAAAAGGTTATTTTCTTTTCTTTTCTTTTCTCTTCTCTTTGTCCCACACCCCCAATCCTCCAGTTGGTGATAAGGTCCCAGCCGACATCAGGCTGACATCCATCCGATCCACCACCCTGAGGGTGGATCAGTCCATTCTGACGGGGGAGTCCGTGTCAGTCCTCAAACACACAGACCCTGTACCAGACCCCAGAGCTGTTAACCAGGACAAAAAGAACATGCTGTTCTCAGTGAGTCCCGAGCACCACGTTTCTATTTGACTTTCAGGATCCACTTTTCACCACGACGACTCACTTGTAGTCAGAAAATACCAAAACGAAAAAAGGCCTGAAGGACTAGCACAGGTTATGCAGACAGGATTGCGTGTGTGATTGTCAGCATCTGGTTGCCCTTCTGTTGTGTTGAATTCCACCATCGTCTGTAGTGGCTAGTCTTGAACTATTCCCACCGAAGCTGGGCAGCTGCCCCAAATACCCAGTAGCACTAAAAAATCTCACACTGCTCAATGTGTTTTAAGACAATTCTTGTAGCAGTGAGCAGGGCCACTGCATAGAGACAGGACTGAATCAACTGTCCCTGAAAGCTGGACACTGAAAAACTGTACACTATTCTCAAGATTAAATGTATTAGGACGATTAGTCTGGTCCCAAAACGAGGTTAGAAAACAGCCTCGGATCATATTACAATGTCCCCATTATTTATTCAACTGAAACAAAGCAGGGATTTAAAAGAAAAAAGTCTGTGTGTTTGTGATGTCTGCGTCATCATATGTGACAGAGCTCAAATGTCACTCTGTCGTCAGGTGGGCTTTGTCAAAGATCAACAGCCTCTTATTTAAAAAAAAAAAAAAAAAACCCTTCTGTCTGTGTGGTTGTCGCTCGCTTTGATGTAACTGCACGCTGTGATGTGAAGGAATATATCCAAATCGGATTTTCTGCCCAGGGTACCAACATTGCAGCCGGTCGGGCCATTGGGGTCGTCGTAGCGACAGGGGTGCAGACGGAAATCGGGAAAATCCGAGATGAGATGGCCTCTACTGACCCCGAGCGGACCCCACTTCAACAGAAGCTCGACCAGTTTGGAGAGCAGCTATCTAAGGCAGGAACCAGTCCGTCCGGGCTATTCCCCCCTTTGCCGTGACTTTTAAAGAAACTGTAGCATGTACTGAATGAATTGTGGTCATCTGCAGGTCATCAGTTTGATTTGTGTGGCCGTGTGGGCCATCAACGTGGGCCACTTCAACGACCCGGTCCACGGAGGCAGCTGGCTGAGAGGAGCCGTTTACTACTTCAAGATTGCCGTGGCACTGGCTGTAGCTGCCATACCAGAGGGTAAAGCCCCCCCCATGATCGCCACGCTGTGTATTTCCGCTTTATGTTTCGGAGCTGGTTTCGTGCGAACGAGGCCAGATAATGTAACAGATGGATTCGGCCGCTCGCTGTGTTCCCTCTCAGGACTCCCAGCTGTCATCACTACCTGCCTGGCCCTGGGCACCAGGAGGATGGCCAGGAAAAACGCCATCGTTCGCAGCCTGCCGTCGGTGGAGACGCTGGGCTGCACCTCGGTCATATGCTCGGACAAAACGGGCACGCTCACCACAAACCAGATGTCGGTGTGCAGGGTAAGGGTCACAGCACCGGCCGAGGCGCCCCGTAGATTCCGCAGCTTTCATCACTGATTCCGCACTCCCACTAATCGCAGATTAACATGTTCTCCTTCTCCGAGCTAACATTAGATGAACAAAAAGGGTTCGTAAAAATCCCGGCAGACAGCGGGCGAGAGGCGGGGGGCCGCCAGTCCATCGCAGGGCCACAAACCTTTTATTCAGACCAGTGAATTAAAGTTTGAGAGAAATTGCTCTGTACAAGCCCGTAGTCAAATGTTAGCCTTTACCTTTGCGGATGTGCATCTCTGTTAGCGAACCACAACAAATGAGTCATCATTGAAAGCACCCACAACAAAAGGTTGTCGTTTTTGTGTAACTTGAATAAAAATAGTGACACAGTTTCACACTGGTGCTCATCAGTCTTTGAGCTCACAGCAGCTGTCCTCTAGCCGTCCTTAGAAAGACTTTTTTCTTTAGTTTTTTAGATATTCATCTCACTACTGTGTAGTGAGATGAGCCACTTCCCTCTATATTTTTTTTTCCAGATAGTTCCTTCTATGTTGAGTGTACATGTGTGAGTGGGGTCTCTTAAGGAACTCTGGCCTCCTCCCACAAACCAAAAACATGCATCAGCTGGTCATTTTAACGGAACCTCCCAGGTCTCTGTGGCCCCGTGATGGACCTTTTTAAAGTGTACCCCGCCTCGAGCTCGGTAGCAGTTGGAATGGGGACAGGGAAATGTCTCTAACCTATATAACTGCTAATGGAAATGTTGGTCTGGTTAATAAAGTGGTGCTTCTCTATGAAAAAGCATGAAGATCAATGCTAGAATGGATTGAGATGCTTTTTTTTTTACATGATGAACTAATCAACTACTCCATTGTGTTATGTCTGTGTGGTTTAGATGTTTGTAGTGGATAATGTGTCAGGAGATCACTGCACCATGAACGAGTTCACAGTGACTGGATCTACTTATGCCCCTGAAGGGGAAGTGTGAGTGTCCTTAAACTTTAACAACTAACACTAAACCTGTGACAGTTACAGATGTTGAGTCTGTGTTTTTAAATAAGGTAAATGGGCAAAAATGACTGATTGATTTGGTTTTGCTGTTTCCGTCTTGAATTAATTTTCTCTGTTCTCATCTCTCTAGCTACAAGGACGGCTCACTGGTGAAGTCCAGTCAGTATGAAGGCCTGGTGGAGCTGGCCTCCATCTGTGCGCTATGCAATGACTCATCGCTGGACTACAATGAGGTAATAAACGCAAACATGGCTCCAGCAACAGCTCAGACCCTCACAGATCTGCGATCCTGAAACATTTAAAACTGACTTCTTTTACCACAAGTTAATTTCAGGGCTCAACTGCGTCCTTTAACTTTGAACTCCTTGTGCTTATGCCCTCCAGGGAAAGGGTGTGTATGAGAAGGTTGGAGAGGCAACAGAGACCGCCCTCTGCTGTCTGGTGGAGAAAATGAACGCGTTTGACACCGACCTGAGGGGCCTGAGCCCCGTAGAGAGAGCCACGGCCTGTTGTTCTGTAAGTGGGTTTGAACTTCATTATGATCCTGTTACCTTTTCACAGCTTTGTTATTGTTATTGTCCTCGTGTGTGAGGGAACAAACCCAAGTTGTAGGGCAACGCTCTGTTTCCAACTCGGTAAACATCATTGCTAGATTCATTATCCAAAACTACGAAGAGTAGGATGAATGATGAGATCCAAATGATTTCGGCAGTTAATAATTCCAAAACTTGTAGTATCAAACAGCTTTCAGATTCAGGAAGTAAAAGACGTACACATGCATTTGTAAAACAGGAAACAGGCATTTCAGGATGTAGAATGAAGAGTGCAGGTTTGAATATCATGAAGGAGTTCATCATTAGATGTTCACATGCACATTATCATCACTACTAAAACATATTATTATGATATAAAATATATAACATGTGATGGAGCCAGATGTTTTATACCGTAAACATCTCATGAATGAACAGACACTCTCAGCTGCCATTTTGCTTTGGATTTCAGATTAGTTTTTTCGTTTGCTCTGTATGTCAGGTCAGATTGTAAAGGCCAAACAGAAGTCAGGTTAATGTCACCGTGGGGTCCCGAGACTGGGACTTCTGCAGCTGGTAGAAACAGCTTGCTTAAGAGGACAGAGTTTGTACAGATGAGCACAAAGACACCCATAGTGTTTAAAACATTGCATTTATAAAATCCGCACTCACATCAATTTAAAAAGACACACTTATTTTTACTGAGGATTCCCTTTAAAGTGCTGTATTTGAGTTTTAGACTCATCAAATACCAGGGCAGAGATACCTTTCAAACAGTTTTGGAATATGCATCAAATTGCATTGTTATAGCATGTAATCTAAAACTGAATATTACTACAAAAAACATTAGAAAGTTTCCTTCTCCATTTCTAGAACATTTGTGGGACTTTCTGTCCAAACACTTATCGACTCTATTTTTTTCTTACAGGTGATTAAGCAGCTAATGAGGAAGGAGTTGACTCTTGAGTTCTCCCGAGACAGAAAGTCCATGTCCGTCTTCTGTTCATCCAACAAACTCACCAGGTCAAGCACTGGAGCGAAGATGTTTATCAAGGTCAGTCACACGTGGTATTTTATGACACCTTCAATCAGTTCCGTTCAGTGTTATCAGTACAGCAGCAAATCACAGCAATGCCATTTCTGGACACAATAAGATCTTTGATATGACAGCTTGCTCGTCCAGCTTTATATGTGAAGAGCAGAAGTTTAATCAGAGCTCTGTGTGCAGCATTTTAGATCAGCTGGAGCCTTTTCCCAGCCTACGAATACAACAACAGTATTTATAAGTAATTACAATAGTCCAATCTGGAAGTTACATTTGCAGTAGATTTTCTCTTTCATCGCTCTGAGTCACCATGTTACCAATTTTTTCAAATACTTTTTTTGGGGAGATAAAAGAATTTAGGTCTAGAAACTCTTTTAAATGTGACACTGGTCAAAAGTAGCTTCAAGGTCCCATTCTGAAGGACTAAAAGGCAAATGAATTGAATCTAAAGTAAATATATAACTAGACAGTTTCTCCCAGGTCCAAGTGCTCAGGTCCAAAGGGACTGCTTCAGTTTTTGTCTTAATTTATAAGTTGAACATTCATCCAGGTCTAAATGTCTTTCAGACATGATTGAAGCTTTTCCTTGATTTCTTTAATCTGGTTTTTTTTTCCGCCCCCCTGGCTATACAGAGACGTTCATGTATCTATTCTTTACATTTCAGGGAGCTCCAGAGAGCGTTTTGGAGCGCTGCAATTATATCCGCGTCAGCGGCTCTGCCCGTGTGCCTTTGACCCCGAGTGTTCGAGAGCAGCTCCTGACCACCGTGCGGGAGTGGGGATCAGGGCGAGACACACTCAGATGTCTGGCCATGGCCACTAGAGACATGCCCCCTGACATCCACAGCCTCAATCTGGAGAACTCAGCTGCCTTTGCCAACTACGAGGTACTAATCAAGTTGCTAAGACTTTATAGTTTCTCTTATAAATTCAACGTGTCATACATCTTATTCGTATCGTTGTGGATCTTGGTGGTTGTTTTTTTCCCCCCAAAAATCCGAAATCCAACTTAATTTATTTCTCTTGTCGGTCCGTGGCTCTGATGTCTGTCAAAGAAAGCAGAGAGTTAAAACTTTTTACACCGTAGTTTACACCGCCTCACCATCGCTTTTCTTCCTCCCAGTCGGACCTGACCTTTGTGGGCTGCGTGGGGATGCTGGACCCCCCAAGGAAAGAGGTTCTTGGTGCAGTTCGGATGTGTCGCCAGGCTGGCATACGAGTCATTATGATCACAGGTAAGCACACAGATAATGAGACACAAACCTTCATTCAAATAATTAGTCTAATAAAGAAGAAGAAGAATGGATGTAGAGTTATGTTCACTGCTTTTGAGTAGAACTGATCCATTCGCCATCTTCTTTAAGCTATCTTTCTTACTTTGAATGCCCATAAGTAATACAGCCTGTCCTGAACTGAGCCTGAGCATTGGCTCTTATTTAAAGTTTTTTTTATGAACCGAAAAAAGCAGATTGGCCTCTGTTTTTCTTCTTATCAACAAGAGCGACTGAAGCATTTGGAACCCCAGTGAACCCCAGAACAGTTTTTTTTTTTCTTTACGTTCTTTCTTCTGAGCTGGACTAAAGAAATTTCTTAAAAACATCAGCAGCTCACCCTCCCGTTCTCCTTTAGGGGACAACAAAGGGACGGCTCTGTCCATCTGCCGAAGGGTGGGCATCATCACCGAGCAGGAGGAGCAGCAGGAGGGCGCCGGGGTCAGCGGCGGGCTCACGGGCCGGGAGTTCGACGAGCTGCCGCCTCACCTGCAGCGCCAGGCCTGCCGGACGGTGCGCTGCTTCGCCCGCGTGGAGCCGGCCCACAAGAGCCGCATAGTGGAATATCTCCAGAGTCTGAGCGACATCACTGCCATGGTGAGAGCACCGGCCTGTATTTGCATTCACACACACACATGTTAATGTGTAGCAGCTTTACTTTGGTTGCTTTAAAAAAGAAGGACACCACTCAGACCAGGAATCAGGATCTGCACATTTATTCCACCTATAAGAGTAGCCGGGGACAGGGTCAGTACACACACAGGCCGATAGATGCTCTCAGTCTCCAGTGCATAAGCTTCCTGAGTTTTTTTTTTCTTTGCCATAATATAAATAAAGAAAATACTTCTGTAAATTAAATGTACACACCAAAACAATGTGTGCCCTTATAACATGTAAAATATTGAGTAAAAGCTGTCAAAATATTACACATGCTAAGTGCATTACACAAGAATAATCACTCATTGAGAAAAATGTGCTTAAAATTTTAATATATAGCTTATCCTCACTTTAAACTATGCAGTCCTTTAGTAAAAAAAATACTTAACAGAATTCAGATGAACAATTTTATACCATAACACACCTATAAGAGTAGCGATGGACACGGTCAGTACACACACAGGCTGTTAGATGCTCTCAGTCTTTCAATTTAATGAAATAAACGTTGGTTTTCACCGACCAAATAAGCGTAAATATATTTAACAATGCGTTGGCAATGCTATTGTAACCCACTACTGGGTATGTACACGTCAATGTTGGACCAGATTCA